GCTTCCCAGGTGCCCTGGCCAGGTTTCTTGGTGAGGTGGGACTGGAGGCTGCACTCAGCAGTAGACAGCTAAGAATTGGCATCCCTGCCCGAGTGGGCAGCATAACTGGCTCCCAAGCCAGCGAGGCTCGTTATTTGAGGTCTTAAATCGGGCAAAACTGTGCATCGAGTTCCCTGCCAGATGGGATCACTGTCTTGTGTTCATATTCTTAAGAAACTGTCAAGTGGTTTCCACTGGCAATGTATGAATGATCCAGTGTCTCTACATCCTCTTAAGCACTTGGTGTTATCACAATTCTTCATATTAGCCATTCTAATAGATGAGTAGTGGTATTTCATTGTGGTCTTAATTTTGCAATTTCATAGATTTTTGCTCTTTACGTTTCCTTCTGCATATCTTGAGTTTAATTTGCTTTTTATTCTAGTTTCCTGAGATGGGAGCTTATATCATTGACTTGAGACCTTTATTCTTTTCTAATGTCAGTGCTTAGTGCTATGAATTTTTCTCTGTGTTGTTTTAGCTACATCACACACATCTAGATATATTGTATTTTCGTTTTTATTCAGTTTAATGTGTTATTGTTTGTGGTTTGTTTGTTTTTTTTCGTTCTCTTGAGACCTTCTCTGACTCATGGATCAATTAGAAGTGTGTTATTTAGTTCCCAAGCGTGGACAATTTTATGTTATCTTTTTCCTATTTCTAGTTTGATTCCATTGTGGTCAGAGAACATAGACTGTGTGATTTCAGTTCTTTTAAATCATTTGAGGTTTGTTTTGTGGGTCAAGATACTGTCACTCTTGGTGTATATTCCACAGTCACTTGAAAATAATATGTATTTTGTTGTTTGGTGGAGTTTTCTATAAAAATTTATTAGATTGTGTTGGTTGATGGTATTATTGAGTTCTATATCACTGCTGACTTACTGACTTCTTGATTAATGTTAGAAAGAGGTATTAATGTTTCCAGCTGTAATAGTATATTTGTCTGTTATTCTTTTCAGTTCCATCAGTTTTTGCTTCACATATTTTGCAGCTCTTTTGTTTGGTACATACACCGTTAGGTTTTCTTCTTGGTAGATTGACATGATGTAATGTTACTCTCTGTCTCTGATAATTTCCCTTGCTGGAGTCTACTTGGTAGAGCCATACCTGTTTTCTTTTAATTAATGCTTGCATAGTCTGTCTCTTTCCATCCCTTTACTTTCAACCTAATTATATAATTCTATTTGGAATGAGCTGCTTGTAGGAAATATAAAGTTGATTCGTTTTTTTCAATCTATGCTGCTAATGTCTGTCTTTTAATTGGTGCGTATAGACTGTTTACACTTATTGATTTACATGTATTGCAGTTATTGATACGTTAGTATGTAAGTCTGCATTTTTTTGTTTGGTTGTCTGTTTAGTCACATTGATTGGTTGCCTCCCATTCGCACACTGACTGGGGCCAGGGATCAATCCTGCAACTGAGATATGTGCCCTTGACCAGGAATCAAATCCATGACCCTTTGGTCTGAGGGCCAATGCTCTAACCACTGAGAAAACCAGCCAGATCCATACTATTCTTAACACATTGTTTGCAGGTAGTTTTTATCGCGCACTAACAGGTGGCGCGGGCCATTTTTGCAGTTGAATAGATTGATTACCGTTATACCTGGAAGTACATACATAATTCACCATTGTATGCGTTAGAGACCCAAATTTTGTCCTTTGGAATTCGTATATCTGCATGTTAGCATCCCTTTAGAGCAATAAAAAAGTATAAAAATAAACGTATTTACACGTTACCCGCATTCTACCGCTAGTCTATAAAAAACATATTAATACGTGTCCTGCGCTCTACTACCAGTCAACGTAAAACATATAAATACGTTTCCCGCATACAATGTGTTAATATAGTACATTAGCTATCCAGTGAAACTTGATTTGTGCTATGAAAAATAATAGGCACTAGCCACATGTCTTAGTTGAGGGTTCTCCAGAGAAATGAACCAATTGGAGGGAGGGATAGATGATAGATAGATAGATAGATAGATAGATAGATAGATAGATAGATAGATGATAGATTGATTTATTGATTTACTATAAGGATTTGGCTTACATGTTTATGAAGGTAGAGAAGTCTCACTCACCAAGCTGGAGACCCAGGAGAGCTGATAGTAAAGTTGTTGTCTATCTGAGTCTTAGTTCGAAGAGAAGCCTGATGTCCCAACTCAAAGACAGTCAGGCAGAGAGAAATAATTCTTTCCTACCTTTCTGTTTTCTTTAGGCTTTCAGTGGATTGGGTGAATCCCACTCATTAAGGAGGGCAATTTGCTTTTATTCAGTCTACTGATTCAAATGATAATCTCATCCAGAAACACCCTGGCAGACTCACCTACAAATAATAGCCAAATAGTGAAATGGACACATAAAAGTAACCATCACATTACCAGTATATATGGCTACTGATCACTTAAAATATCACTAGAGCAACTAAGAAACTTAATTTTTTTTAATTTTTAATTAATTTAAAGAGCTAAACATGGTCCATGGTTACTGTCCACAGCAGTAGATTGTCTCAGTCCTCAAATGGAGCTTTGATGCTGTAGGACAGTGGTTGGCAAACTGTGGCTCGCGAGCCACATGCGGCTCTTTGGCCCCTTGAGTGTGGCCACGAAGTTTCAATTGCACTGTACGTGCGCGCCCGCACGTGGTATTTTGTGGAAGAGCCACACTCAAGGGGCCGCAGTTTGCCGATCACTGCTGTAGGACCATTCAGACTACTTCTCTAGTGTCTGGTTTCCATCTAGGCTAGAAACATCCCCAGCTTGGTGGTGAGAAGTCCAAATACCATGAGACTGCCACATGTAGGGACGTATAAGCTATCCACATGGAGAGATCGCAGAGAGAGAGGGAACCCCATGTGTTCTAGCAATCCATTTGAAGCATCAGACATGTGAATGAAGAAGCCATATTGGACCTCTAACCCAGTCAGGCCTTCGGATTGAGACAGGCCAGTAAGCCAGGACAAGTGGAGTAGGGAAATAGACAGAGAGCTGAACAAACTGGCAGAGCAATTGACCGCAGATACAGAAAGTCACCTCCCTAGAGATAACATTAGGCCTCAGTTGTATTTCAGCTCCAAGTCCAGAAAAGCAGGAAAACCAGGTGGGCAAAAGTAGGACCAGCTGCAATGACTAAGGACCCCCTGCCCTGACACTGACCAATCAGTGGAGACCATGACCCTGAAGGAGCACACCTAGAAAACTGATGAATAATCTGCCGAAACCCTTCCCAGAGACCTCTACTAAGATTCCCACCCACAAGAGAGAGAGAAAAGCCTCAAGGCAAAGGCCCCAGCTTGCGCACTCCCTGTGGGGAGCAGCCCCCCCATCCCCTTTGCTTCTTCCCTCTCTTATTCCCCCACAGGCAGGCGTATTCTAAACCGTAAAGGACCCCATGAGACTTGCAACCAGGGGAGCAATAGGCAGCAGCAGCTCCTCCCAGGCTCACCCCTGAACCTGTTCCCAAGGCCCCCTTTTCTCTGCCTTCCCAGTGAGCTAGGGCAGCCCAGCCTAGGCTCTCCTGTTGCTGCTTCCATGCAAAGCCCTTTCTTGTTCTACTGTCCCAGCTTTTTTTTAAATATATTTTATTGATATTTTACAGAGAGGAAGGGAGAGAGATAGAGAGTTAGAAACATCGATGAGAGAGAAACATCGATCAGCTGCCTCCTGCACATCTCCTACTGGGGATATGCCCGCAACCCAGGTACATGCCCTTAACCGGAATCGAACCTGGGACCTTTCAGTCCACAGGCTGACGCTCTATCCACTGAGCCAAACCGGTTTCGGCTACTGTCCCAGCTTTAATAAATGTTCCCACATAGCCACCTGGACTCATGTGAAATTTTTCCTGCACTAAGTCAAGAACCCACACACTACTGGTGGGTCCTAGGAGACCCACCAAGGGCTCGATCCCCTTCCCAGTAACAAGATGATTCAGCCAGAGCTGCCACCTGACTCTAACCATATGCAAACCCCCGAGCAAGAAGCTTCAGCTAATCCCACAGAACCATAAGAGATTACAAGTTTTTTGTCTTAAGCCACTAAATTTTGGGGTGATTTGCAAAGCAATAGATAACCAAAACAGAAATATCCTAAGAAATCGAGGCTCTATATTTCTTTGCCTACTCTCATTCCTGGTCATCTTTATTTTTTTTTTCCTACTGCCTTGCTTTTGGTGGTGTCAACTTTCATGCTGAGCACTGACTTTGCAGTTTGGGATAGTCACAGTTATCTGGCCTTCAACTATCCAAGATTTCTGACCTCATGGTTAAAAGGCCTTTAAAATAAAGTTATTTGTTTTTTCTTTCTGCTTTCAAATAAGCCAACTTGGATCAATGCTTGCCTTTTTCTTTCTTAGCAAAGGCCATAAATAGTTAATACAATTTAACAGAGATCCCCCCCCCCCCCCATCAGTTGTCTTTTAAAAGTCAAAAGGCATATAGCTGCAAGGAGTGTCTTGGTCATGACTGTAAGAACCCACTGTTTACATTGGGAATTCTGCTTACTTGTGTCAGAATCAAACAACTTATTTGTTCCAGAATCAAAATCAATATTTTAACATCTGCTTTGTGACCAGAAGAAAATGAGTGGGCGGGGAGAGGGATGTGTTGGGTATATACCCAAATGATTATATAAACAATGGCTCTTACATAAAACAAGACCAGTCAGGTAGTGAGATTCTATATAAGCTATTTATACAATTTATAAATTGTGCTGCTTAACACATTTATATATCTTGAACTGTATCCCTTAATAATATACTTTTTATTCCAGTGAACACATTTATACAAATTTAAAAGGAATTTATTTTTAAGTGTCATGAAAACAAATGTTTAGAACAAGGATTACTATTTTGTCATTGTTCTTAGTGCGCATTTTTTATAATTGATAAGAGGGCAAATTTTGATCTGAAAATTTTGTTGGGACTCTACTTCAGTGATTTTTCTTTTCATTTCAGTTCTAAGTACAAATAGAAATTGGCTATGGATAATTCATATGCTTTCAATCAACGAAGCTCATGTAATGGAATTCCATCTGAGAAAACAAACAACTTACTTGTGTCAGAAGATCATGGACAGAAAATCTTGAGTGTACTACAGAATTTTAGAGAACAAAATGTCTTTTATGATTTCAAAATAATCATGAAAGATGAAATAATCCCATGTCATCGTTGTGTGTTAGCAGCGTGCAGTGACTTTTTCAGGTATTTTACCTTGTGTATGCCTCAGATTTTATGATATGGATAATTAAGTTAGCTTTTTAAACTCTCCTCAACTCTCCATCCACAGGAGCATGCAACAATGATTCTTATTTCTTGAAAAGAGCCCATTAGAGCCTAGATTAACTAATTCTTTTTGAGCATGAAAATTTAGGACTATCTTTTGTGATGTTTTATAGAACATTAGTCCCTTAAAATGTTCAGCGGGAAATTGTTTCCATCTGCAGTCATTTTATGTAGGGGATCCCTGCACTGTATCCTTTAGAAAAAGAGGAAAGAACAGATTCGTCCAAAATGGAAGCCAAGTTCAAAGAAAATGAGGAGCCTGAGAGGAAACCACATTTCAGTCACATATTGATTGTATCAATGGATTATTGGGAAGGGAGGGACTCCAACCCAGAGGATTTCACTATAGTAGTGAGAAGTTCCTCTAGAAGTATTTCTGAAGGGGACCCAGCTTGTTCCAGTTTGGGCAGCCTTCTGAATATAAGTTGGTTCCCATGTAGATCATCTTACAAGGAGTGTCTTAGTCATGGCACTGTAAGAACCCACTGTTCACATTGGGAATTCTGCAAGGGTTGGGGTCAAACACATGACCCTGTGAGGCCTCTTGGTGGCATCCTGGACTTCAGCCGTCCCAGTCACGCTGCAATAAACTGAAGTGCTCATTGCAACCTTTTACATTATGTTCAAGTTTGAAGCAATAAACTGAAGTGCTCATTGCAACCTTTTACATTATGTTCAATTTTGAAGCAATTTTTTTTTGAAGTAAACAGGTTTTAAATCTCTAATAAACAAACAATGTAAGAGTAAAATTTAAGACAAAAATACAACTCTTAGCTGTTTGCCTAACTACACTGTATGTTTTCATCTGTTTTTTGTTTGTTTTCCCAGTTCTTTTCTCAGATAACTTCTGTTATTTTTCTTTATACTTCCCTGGAGCCCTAACTGTTCTTATGCTCTGTCACGCTCAGGTTCCACCAGTTTCTTCCCCTCTATCCCAATCCAGTTTTTCTTCCAAGTAGTTCTGTTCTGCTCCCTTATCCTCATGTCACCTCTTCATCAGAGGAAGCTGTACAGTACAGTGCTGCAGCACTTGGCCTCTTAATACTCATGCCCTAAATCTAAATCCCAGCTCTACCATTTATCCCATAGGTGACCGTAGGTGTGGGGCCTGGTTACTGTTTCATTTTTTGAAATCACTTTCCCTTTTTCCTCAAGTGCTGTATGAAATGTGTCCTTTTAGATGTGTGTTTATCTTATTTGGTGGATTTTCCCCCAGACAGGCAGATGCACTTGCAACATCTGATATCTCACTGTATTCCCTCTTTCATAGGTCTCAGTACTGCCAAATCACAAATTCATTTTGAAAGAGACTTTTAAATGCTAACCGCAGAAGCATTATGCACCTTAAATAATTTTAGTTGTTACCTGCAGAGTTGGCACTGATTAACCAACCCATAAATAAACAAATTAAGTCATAAGAGAGAGATTTTATGAATAATACATAAGAACATCAAATCAGTATACAAAATTTGAATCTTTTTATAGCCTTCTTTGGATTAGTTGCTGTAGCTCAGTTATAATGAATATTGTGCAATATGGGAGTTATGTAATACATCTGTTTTACAATACTAGATAAATAGTATTGTATGTATCCATTCAAATTTTAAACTAATTTATTACGATGCTTTGAAATATATTTTAAATCAACTTAAGGTTAAAGGAAATCTTTTCAAGGTAATACTGAAAATTTTCATGGAGTAGATTATTTCTGTTTACTTCTATGTTTTTTATTTTTGCAGGGCTATGTTTGAAGTAAACATGAAAGAAAGAGATGGTGGGAGTGTTACCATTACCAATTTGTCCGCCGAAGCAGTAAAAGCCTTTCTTGATTATGCCTATACTGGAAAAACAAAGATAACAGATGATAATGTGGAAATGTTCTTCCAGGTGTCATCGTTTTTTCAAGTTCCCTTCCTATCCAAAGCCTGCAGTGACTTCTTAATAAAAAGTATTAATATTGTCAATTGTTTACAGTTATTATCTATATCAGATAGCTATGGCTCTCCCCGTTTGTTTGATCATGCATTATACTTTGTACAACATCACTTTTCCTTGTTATTTAAATCCAGTGATTTCTTAGAGATGAATTTTGGAGTAGTGCAGAAATGTCTGGAATCGGATGAATTAGATGTTCCTGAAGAAGAAACTGTCCTGAAAGTTGTCCTGAATTGGACTAAATATAACTTAGAAGCAAGGCAAAAGCATCTGCCTTATTTGATTAAAAAAGTAAGATTACATCAATTACCTGAGGAGACACTTCAAGACTGTCTGCTTAGTGAAGAGTGTTTACTCAAAAACACCAACTGTTTTGACATAGTCATGGATGCAATTAAATGTGTGCAAGGTTCTGGTGGACTTTTCCCTGATGCGCGACCATCCACAACTGAAAAATACATCTTTGTTCACAAAACTGAGGAAAATGGCGAAAATCAACATACATTTTGCTATAATATCAAAACTGATTCGTGGAAAATACTGCCACAATCACACCTGATTGATTTGCCCGGATCTAGTCTGGCAAGTTACGGAGAAAAAATATTCTTGACAGGTGGTTGCAAGGGGCCGTGTTGTCGAACAGTTCGGCTTCATATTGCAGAGTCATATCATGACGCCACTGATCAAACCTGGTGCTATTGTCCAATCAAAAATGATTTCTGCCCAGTATCAACCATGAAAACACCCAGAACCATGCATACATCGGTTATGGCTCTTAATAGGTTGTTTGTCATAGGTGGAAAGACGGCGGGATCTCAGGACATTAAAAGTCTCCTAGACGTTGAATCTTACAACCCTCTTTCCAAAGAATGGATGTCTGTTAGCCCGTTACCCAGGGGCATATACTACCCCGAAGCAAGTGCATGCCAAAATGTAATTTATGTGCTTGGATCAGAGGTAGAGATTACAGATGCCTTTAACCCATCGCTTGATTGCTTTTTTAGATACAACGCTACAACTGATCAGTGGTCTGAATTAGTAGCAGAGTTCGGGCAATTTTTTCATGCCACACTAATTAAAGCTGTCCCGGTAAACTGCACACTGTATATATGTGACCTTTCCACCTACAAGGTTTACAGTTTTTGTCCCGATACTTGTGTCTGGAAGGGTGAAGGATCTTTTGAATGTGCAGGCTTTAATGCAGGTGCTGTTGGAATTGAGGATAAAATTTACATATTAGGTGGTGACTACGCACCCGATGAAGTCACAGATGAAGTGCAAGTCTACCACAGCAGCAGGTCCGAGTGGGAGGAAGTGTCCCCGATGCCAAGAGCCTTAACTGAGTTTTACTGCCAGGTGATTCGGTTTAACAAATACCGGGACCCCTGGTTTTCTAACCATTTCTAAAAGTAGTGTGTGCTTAGACATTGTAAAACTCTTCCGGTTCTAGAAACCTAGGGGAGGTTTGTTAAATAACAGTCGGTAAAAAAGGTCTATACATCTTAAATTAAAATTTACCTTCTATTAGAGAATTACTGTGAATGTACACTGTGTAAGAATTAGCAGTTCCCAGAAACTTAAAATATAAAATGCATTTTACCAAAAACTATACTGAATATAATTTAATCTTGGAGAATCCAGAATACTTGTATTGTCTTCTGTAAATAAAACTCTAGGCTTGAATGTTTTAATTTTTAACAGTGAAACACAGAAACAAATCAAATAGTAAAAACAAAGTTCACAGATTTGTACTATGTAAATGGGAGAAATCTCTTTAGGTAGTAAAAATGAATTATGTACACTATATTTTATGAACTGAAAAATAAATTACAAAGGTGAGAATCCTACCCTGTTACTACAGGTTTAAGAGTTACTGAATTCCTATCCTTTCTGATCATAGTTAGCTTCTTTTAAGTACTTTTTTCTTTCACCATTATTTGGTCAGAAATTTTTCTAAAATGCAATGTGTTTCCCCAGCATCCTAAACTGTACACTGAACATGAACATTTTCTATAATTCAACTTTTTAATGACTCAACTCCTCATTAGGAGTGTAATGTACCATATTATACTTTCATAATGCTACCAGCAGTTACTGAAATGTTTTTAAAATTGCCGTTCCTATTAGAACTCAGTGTTAGTTGGCGTTGATGTCTAGCAGTATGTCTCCCTTATTTTCTGGCTCAAGCTCAATAAATTAACATTCTTGATTTAATTATTAGTTCTAAGTTACACTGCCCTGAGTTTACTTAACATGTGTGAAGTTCTTGGATTCTTGGATGGAAATGCTGAGATACTTTTTCTGTATCATTGCCAGGTTCCAACATAATTGAGAATATAGGCAATCGGACCTCTGGCTAAGTGGATCATTATCATTGCATTTCTTAAACTATTAAATGCCCAACTTTGTGTTGCAAATAGGAATTTCAGCACTTAAATTAGTACCATATGAGTTTCCTGTGATGATATCCAAGTGTAAAGCACCAGGTTGGTTTGTTACTTTAGTAAATTATTCATAGTGAATTATTTTCTAAATTAAGAACAAAATTTAAATTTAGAAAATGTTGGTATTGATAGTAGTATTCACAACCAACATCTGTTTAGATGTTTCATCATCTTTAACCCAAACAATGGAAGAGTATTCATCATCCTTGTTCTCAGCTAGGATGATTCTGGCTTTGCAAAAGGATATGCTTCTTTAATCAGTTTAAAAGATATAAGCATTTTAGGTTTTAAGACCCCCTATTTACATCTCAGGCAATGTGTGGATTGGATTTCTCCAATGTAGTTCCCATACTCTAGTAAATGTTAATCTGTTGTAAATGTCCATATTCTTTAGAAGTATGTTCCAAAGTAGAAATATACCTAAGTGAAGGTTCTTTTATCATATAAATGTATACAATCATAAGTTCAAATGTGTTTTTCAAAATAGAATAGGGTATTAGAACACATTATCATGCAATTACAAAACCAGGGACTGGCCCTAATCAGATAGGAAGTATTCTGTAGAATTGGTGGCCTTCTTCCCTGCCTTCCTTAGTTGGCTCCTCTCTCTCTCTCTCTCTCTCTCTCTCTCTCTCTCTCTCTCTCTCTCTCTCTCTCTCTCTCTCTCTCTCTTTCTCTCTCTCTGACTTTGAAAACAAATTTACACCATAACAGTGGGTGGCTTATATGTATGTGGATTCACTCAACTCTGTCACTCTTCTCATCGCCCATTGATTAATGGTAATGTTTCTGGAAATAGCCTTGTAATCCAGGCCTGGGTGACTCCCTCTGCATTTGATATAATATACTTTCTAATGCACAAGGCCTCCTGCCTTGGTTTCTATAATTGCTGCAGGCTACGTAATCATTTTTCCTATTGCCATCCCTTTACATCTGTACCCATGTGCTCTTCATCGTTTATATCTGCCAGAAAAGTATTCTCTCTAGTCACAAATCCCCAAACCCTTCCTTTACTGTTCCTTTTCCTTGGCCCAGTTGTAACCTGTGGTAGGCTTGTCCCTGTTAATAGTTGCTGTTGTTCTAATTGTGTGCCTTCTTATAAGATAATGCTTTAATTTGACCTATCTGCACTGGTTCTGTGTATTCAAAAATCCTCAGCACCCAACCACACAGACTCATGGTCAGTGACTGAACTGGTTATATTTTCCTGATCTTGTCAATCACCGTGGCTTCACTGCCAGGAACCGTGTGTGTGTGTGTGTGTGTGTGTGTGTGTGTGTGTGTGTGTGTGTGTGTATAAATTCAGATCTCTCCATTCTGGATCTCTGATGTGCAAGTTTCAGTGTTTTCTCATCTATTCAGTACCCCAGAAGGAGCTATTTTTTCTGCCTCTAAGATTAGGGAAGAGAGAATATTCTTTCATCGGTGACCTCTTCCTTAAGTATTTTTTTCCTTTCTGGTCTGATTTTCTTTCATTATCATTCTTCAGCCACTGCCGCAGTGTAAGAGACAAAGTGATTGTGCTCATTATCCAGATTGCTTTCGATCTTGTGGAAGAACTCTAACACTTTTAGTCCTTTATCATTTCTCTTGCCCCACTACATTTGGATTATGCACACACACAAAATGCTGATACTGTAAATCTTCTAAAATTGAAAGTAGGTATACGGCATTATTAAATGTAAAAAAGATTACACTTAACATTTTTTGAAATAAATTCAAAGTTAATGGATATTCCTAGAGTGATCTTCAAACTTGATTTAAAATGCGGAGCATCTTTTATTCATCTGTTGCCTGGGAGATGGAGCATATGAAGAATATTTGAATAATCAAAATTGACTACATTCCCAAAACACTCAACTGTAGTTTGGGGATGGAAAGAGGTCTTTATCACCACATCCTGCAACCTAATTCCATTTTCCCCAGATACCAAGAAGAGCAATTGAGTTTATGTTCAGTGTACCCAGTTCAAGTTACACGATTCGGGAATCGGAGTCAAGTATAGAGGGAAGCATTTGTTTGCATTTTGAGATATGGAAGCAATAAATTTAATGTAATGATTAAATATATTGTTGACTATATAATGTTACTTTTAGATCACCATTCTCAGTTTAATTGGATCCAGTATTTGGAATATCTTTTCTCATATTTAGAACAGAATTTGTAAGACTCAAAAATGTCTCCCAATAGGCAGCTCTCGAGGGCAACCTAAAAGCAAAGGCTAGAATTTGTAGGGAAGCAGATTCCTGTTCAACATAAGAAAAAACTTTACTCCAAATTATAAAGCCACATATATAAATAGACAAGTGATCAAAGACTGAGGCATGTGGCACATGATTAGTCCAATAAATCCCTACACGGGAATGCACACCCCAAGATTTCTACATTCTATTTACATCCACCTTTTTATCTTAATAGTTTTCTGACATGTGACTAATTGCTTTCTCCTCCAATTTATTCAGGATTTTTGTAACAATTTCAATGGTTCTGCATACTTAAGATTTAAATAGGATTTGAGTCTTAAAACTACATCATTTCAAGAGCGTTCCTATTAAAGAAAATTTGTTCTGTGTTCTTTAATTACTCAGGAAAAAGTCTGCAAATGGTGCTGACATAATGGTAAGCTGCTAATAAGGATTTTTCCTTCTGCCTACCATAGGTGCACATTTGTTTTATATAAATAGAAACTGAAAGACCAGTACCTAACATTTTCTTCTGAATTATTGTTCTTATTTTGCTGCTAATGTAGCTATATATTTAAATGTAGTGATTCTCATTAAAGGTTGTGTGATTTAAGAGAAATCTTTATATCTTAAAAATGTAGATGTATTTATAAATAATATTTGATGGCACTATGATGCTTAATCAAATTTAATATCTAAATAGGGGATATAATCAGAGGATGATGCTATCACATCAAAAGACAACTATTCTAAACCATAGTAAAACTTGAAAATAACCAAAATAACCTTAGCATCTAATACAGCTTTCACCTGTTACAGAAAGCCCCTCTAAATTCTAAAACATCCTTGAATGATGATTTTTTAAAATTTGTAAGTCAATGTTTTCAGCGGTAAAGAGTTCACCACTCCATTTTTGAGCAGTTCTATTGGAAAGTTCTTCCTAACATTAAAAGCAATTCTGCCTCCTGGTAATAATTTCCAGCCCTTCGTCCTAGATTGCTGTCTCCATAAGTGTCCCACTTCTCACAGAAACTCTTGATAATTCAGGCATCTCTGTAGATCCTATTAATCCAATTTGGGCTGGAGCCTCTCTTCTCCCCTCTCCCCTCTCCCCTCTCCCCTCTCCCTTCTCTCTCTCCTATCCTCACTCCCTCCTTCTACTCTTATCAACATAACCACATCACATTTTCTGGGAGAGGAATTCTACAACCAAATTTTAATGTCTTTTAATCATGTGTCATTGGATACGGTTTTCAGAATTTTAAAAACACATCTAAAACAAGGCTCTAAAAAGTGTACACAAAAAAAGAAAGAAACCAAAGTAGTCACATCCTTGATGGTTAATGAGGACAATTCACTTGCAAATTAATCAAGACCAGCCTTATGGTAATAACGATCTAAGTTTGGAGATTCATCTGTGCTGTTAACCAGTTGGATAGAGTATATTTCCATAAAACAGTGCCATTATTATAAAAAAAACCTTTATGGGTGACATAGCTTTATTCATTTCAATATCTTTGACCACATTCCCAACCATAACTGTCTAGCTCAACAAATTATTAATTTGGTTCCAAGGGTAACAAGGTTGCTGGAGTAATGAGAGCAGCACAGTTCTCTGAGTATCATGATTGTGTAAATATTTCTTTACATATCTGTCTTCCTCATTAAATTGGAAGCTCTTAGGAATAGGGACGTACATTCCTCATTACTGGACCTAGTAATTAGCACAGTGTCTGCATATAATAAGGCATCCAATAAACTGATAATATATTGAGCTAATATGTGAAAATATATTTATTAGTTATATTGTTAATGAATGGGTTTGATACAATTATACATTTTGCAGCTTTTTTCATGTACAAAGGAAATTAATTGGATTTACATTAGGATTTTACATTTTAGAATGCTATCACATTGTACTTGAGTTATTTGTGTCTTCTTTTTAAAATACTTGATATCTTTTTCGTTTAAAGTCTGAGAAATTGGGTTCAGTAACTCATACAACTTCAATTTTTGTTAGTATATGGGAAAGTTAATAATGAAGCATTTTTTAATTTGAGAGTGAAATTGCATTATCCAGTGCACTGCCCACCTTTAGAGAACATGTATAGTTGATTATATAATTGTACAGGATATGCATAGTTGGTTCTTGAAAGTGAAATTATAGATTCAAAGTCATTTATCCACCTAATTTTTTAGTGCTTATAGCTTATTTATTCTCAGTGAATTTTATTTATACTAATTCTCTGTTTCCTTTCAAAGGCAATAATAGATAAGACGACTACAAATTTTATTATTAGTCAACCTTTTCTCCTATAAGAGCATGATAGTTTTAGTGGCCTTTTTCCCATTTTGGGGATAGTGCTCAAAGCTACTTATATTGCATTCACAAGTAATTTGCTTAATTACTCTGTCATTGGAATGTGGGCTTTTCTCATAAGCTGTGAGAAATAAAATCAGCATTTTCGCAGGTTCATGTTAACCAGATTAACATGTAATAAAACATGTCCATTCTAGAAAACAATTATTTATTAAAGTATCTCAGAAAAGAATATACTGTTTGTCTTTGTTGTCATTAGAAATAAAAGGGGTAGATAAAGGTGGATGTTAAGGCTCTTGTTTTCTTGACTCCCCCTTCCCCAGATGCCCTGCAGGGCTCTGCTGACTCAGAATTACTGAGTTTGCAATGTCAAGGTGAGGGGCTTCTGTAGCTCTGATGACATGTCCTGTAATATAGACCTCGGCCTGAAAGAATGGAGTACCTGCTACACTTCAGATGAGTCATAGGTGGGACAAGGCCTCCAGCCCCTGACTGAGCTAACAGACCTGATATTTATGAACCACAGATGACAGCCGCAGAAGCTCGCTGACCGCGCAGGACCAGGGGTCCACCCTGGACCAGACAGCTGCCAGGGGATAAGCCTTCCTACCTCATGTGCACAAATGCTCATGGAGTCAAGCTAGTGACTGGGATCAAAGTCTGAGACTGTGGTACCGTGAAAATGCTTTTTGAATGTTTACCTTGAACAGGTGCTGTCAATTGCAGTTCCTGTGATGTTTCCTCTTTCTGGACAGGCCCATTTTTCTGTCGTGTTCCTGGTTTTCCTAGGCGATGAGCTGTGGTTTACTAAATGACCTTAGCTCCCATGTCACTCTCCGGAGACTGCTGCCCAGGTAGAAACAGAGTTCCTCCTTGGAAACCCACCCCTTGAAAACCTAGCTCTGTTTTTATCCCACCTGATTGCATAAGGCGTTTCCTTCCCTGAATGTCTGGGGCTTTCCGCTGCTCTCTGGTTAATCCTTGGTCCAATTTACCTGCTCCAGCCTTTTTTCCTTATCACCTCCAAATCTCTGTGTGCCTCCAGATTTCTCCAGTGCACTTTGCCCTCAAACTTTGACTCATCTCCTTCTCTTTAATCCCCATAGGCAGAAGCCTTTAA